CCGTTGGGTGACCTGGCCCAACCCTTCACCGTTGTCCAAGTGCGTCAGGGGAAGCCACCTGGCAGGAAGGAGCCAGGTGGAGCAGAAAGCCGCCAGTCTTATAGTCAATAACTGGTGATAAGACCAGATGTGTGGCAATATCAAATAACCAAGAACTGGCATCACCCCAGGCAGCACGGTCAACTGTCTTCAGTGTGGAGACAAGGAAGGAGCGGAGGAGTGTCCCAGACACCTGGGAGGGGAAGGGGGAGGAGCTTGAATTTGTGAAGTGGTCCAGGCACTGTGCTAGACTCAGCCTTTCCTTTAAAAGGCAAGAAAGCTGAAGTTCAGGGAGGTCAGATAATACAGCCAAGGTTACAGTGACTGGGGGACCCAGGGTTTGACTGGGGAAGGCCAAAGTCACAGCCTCAGGGAGCCCTTGGCTACCACTTAAGTTTGTCCATGCTGTCCATGGACTTCAGATGGACACTGACACAAACCCCCTGAGGCCACAGCTGGTTGTGAGTGGTGGCACACTGTCAAACCAATGGCCCAGTTATGTATTCTTCATAAGTGGTTACTGTAGGTGGGAGCTAGTTTCTAAACCAGACTTCCGGTTTTATTCACACCTGTCTCATTCTCTTCTAGGTTTTTGGCCAGCCTTTTTGCCACTCCCAGCATGGGGTGAGGTGACCTGGCAGCTTACTTACAATGAGGAGCCTGTGGGATCTATTGACCCAATTCCTGACAGGCTGCCAGGAACTCTGGGCATGAGCACTTTTTGCCAGCTTCTGAGATCCTAAGGACCCCATCTGAGCCTATGTGTAGGCCAAGCAATGGTAAAACCTAAAGGCTATGGGTGGCTCTGTTACCCTAGCTTAGCGTCATAGGCCTTACTTGCATTGTTCCCCATCATCCTCAAATAACCCGGGAATTGGGTGGAATGACTACGCTCACCGTGCACTCACTGAGCTCAGAGAAAAGCAGAGATAGCCAGAAAATACCAGGTGGGTTTGGATTGGAAACCAGACAGTAACTGCCAGGTCTCTCATTTCCTCTCTGTCTCTGTCCCCAAGGCTCTTGGCATAGATCCCCTGATCCCTAAGAAGTCCCCCGTGCCCTACTCTCTTTCTTTCTCTCTGATAAGGACTCCTGTAGCCCAGGCTGGTTTTAAATTCTCTATGTAACTGAGAATGACCTTGGATTACTCTTGATCCTTCTGCCTCTACATCCAGCACGCTGAGCTTACAGACATGTATCACTATGCCGAATGTGACACAAGCAACGGGATGCTGAACTCGGGACCTTGTACATGCTAGGCAAGCACTCTACTAACTGAGCTATATCCTTAGTCCCTCCTCCTCTTTCCTAAGCTAAAGAAAAGACTGACCACAAGTGCAAAATGGTAGCAAAGGCAATGTGAGCCTTGGGCATTCCTGGAGTCCCATTCAGAACCTTTGACTCCACAAACCTTTTTATACAGAGAGGAATAAAAAGCCCTGTCTCTGCTCCAACTATTTTATACGATCAAAGGAGCCAATAAAGAAGGCATAGGCGTGTGTGTGTGTGTGTGTGTGTGTGTGTGTGTGTGTGCATGAACAAATGTTTTTGCATACACAGGAGTAGCTGGTAAATAGACCTCTAGTTCCCTATGTCTGGTGTCACACATAGCTACAGTGACCACATTACCCAATCAGAAGTGAGGACACATCTATTACCCAGTGCAATAATGAAACTGATGCCACCCACATGAGATGAAGAGGCTGCTCCCTAACAATGGGACAGATACACTCTGAGAGCAGGCTCAATTTCTCTGATGTTTTGTCAAGCGTTCAGGCCTGGAAAATGTAAGCCCAGACTTCAGTCACCCACAACTGATTAAGGATTAGTGTTAGCACACTTGGTTTTAAATCTGTTCTGATGGATGATCTGGTACTCCTGCAGCATGAAGTGAAAGAAAGTTAGCACCCAGGTCAATCATGGTGATTCAGGCTCATAATCCCCATACTGAGGTAGGAGGATTGAAGGCTCAAGGACAGGGCAGTCTGTGCTACATACTAACACTCCTGAAGGGTGGGGAGAGACCTGAAATAACATCTTGTTTTAGGGGCTACTGTGGAGTGTATTACATAATAATTGAACTAGATAAGGATGCAATTTGGTGACCTAACAAACTTGAGGCCCTGGGTTTAATTCTAGGTACTGTCCTGCCCCCCCCAAGTAAAAAATTAATTCTGAAAATGCTTAGTGGGTAGAGATAAAAGAAACTGTGAATTTAAGTGGCATCAATTCAACATCATTCCTCCCTTCCCATTAGTTTCCAGACACTTAGTGTTGGGACAGAGATAAGGGAGGGGAGACGGTGACGGTCATGGGTTACAAGTGTGCAGGTGATACAATATAGGGAGGGTTAAGGGACTGGTAAGCTCAAGATGTGGGGTCCAGAGGATGATTAACTGGGGGTAGACTGGCTTTATTTTTCTATTACTGTAGAACAAAGCAGTCTAGTTTAGGCCCACTAGAGAGGACAATAATGCTCTTAGTTTCTATGTGCCAGGAGTCCAGCCTGAGCTTAACAGGATTCTCTGCCCAGGGTCTCACTAAATACCTGTGGACTGCATTCATCCCTGGAGTTTTGGGCTCTCTTCCGGCTCATATGATGGTTGGGAGAATTCAGTTTCTTCCTTATAAATCATTGAGTCCATGGATTTTATTTATTCATTCATTTATTTAGTTGGTTTTTTCCAGAGTCAGTCTTCATACAGTCTAGGCTGGTCTGGATGACACTGAACATCCAATTCTGCAGCCTCCAGATCCCAACCTTAGGATTGCAGGCATGCACCAAAACTCCTGGATTCTATGGGGGGTTTTGTTTGTTTGTTTTGTTTTTCCTGTTGTTTATATTATAGAAACAGGATCTCACCCTGTGACTCAGGCTGGCTTCAATTCAATGATTCTCCTGGCTCAACCTCCCTACTGCAGCGGTATCCGTGTGCACTGCCTTGCATGATTGGGTCTTGATTTGTCAGGTGTCAGTAGGAACCACACTTAGCACCTAGAGTTGCCTCTGAGTCCTTGTTCTGTGGCTCCTCTACAGGCCTCTGTCACAGCTTGGTGGCTGACTTCCTCAAGGCCACCAGGAAATTCATTCTGACTTTAGGAAGAGACCCAGGACCTCGCCATATTAGCTGAGACCCAGATATTCTCCCCCCTGGATTAACCCCAAGTCACCTGATTAGGGACCTTAATTATATCAGCAAAGCTCCCGTGCCATAATCCAGAGCGTGAGGTGCTGTTACACTACCCTCAAGGGGGAGAGATCTGTAAAATATGAAGAGCTAAGAGGGAAGTGAGGAGGCAGTGTGTCTGTGAGGGGCCCCAGAGAAGCTATAAGGTTTGGACAAGAACGCAAAGGGAGGGTACCAAAAGTGAGGGTTTTTTGCTAATCAGATCTCTCTCATCTCACCTCCTCTTTCTCTCTTCTCCCTCCCTCTCTTCCTCTCACTTTCCTTCCCCACCTCTGATCTCTCTTTTGATATTAATCAGGTCATTTTTACTGCTAAATTACTAATTAAAAATGGGAAATCCCAGCCAGATGGTGGTGGGGCACGCCATTAATCCCAATGCTCAATAGGTAGAGGCAGGTGGATCTCTGTGAGTTTGAAGCCAGTCTGGTCTACAGAGCGAGTTCCAGGGCTACACAGAGAAACCCTCTCAAAAAATAGTATATATTTATGTTGATTGATCATATGCGTATTGTTTTGATTTTGAAAGCTGATATTAAACAGTGCTTGGAATCCACAGACATATAGCCAGAATTCATTGCGGTTATGGGCATAGATCAATAAATCATGTGCAATAGTTAAATATATTTAAAAGAGGCCCAAAGACCGGCAGTTCCCCCAAATACATGTGTAATAGTAGACTTCCAGAGACTTTAGTATGCGATGCTGGCACGTGCTTCCCCTGTACTAAGTCTGGGCTTCAAACCCCAGCAGCTAAGACAGAGCCCAACAACAACAAATGAGTAACCTCCAACTCATCCTGTCTAGTCTATACTGTTTTTCTGGTCTCTAGGGTCAGCCATGCTCCCTCCCTGGAGGTGATACCTTGTCCTCAGTGATGGAAGTAACAAGCCTCATATTTATTCTTTAGCATATAGGTTCTGTGCTGCCTTCTTTCGAGCAGAACAGAAATCATGTCACTGCTGGAGCTGGACAGCATTTCTGCAGAGCTCACCTGGGAGCAGTGTTTATGGTTTCCAGACAAGGTCAAAGCTGCAAAGCCGAAATGACAGCTGGGCTACCTTCCCCAGCCCGTCTCCCCTCGTCTTGTTGGCACAGTCTTTCAACCTCCAGATTGTGTGTGTTTGGTTCAGCCGAATACAAAACAAACCACAGCCACACTTCGCCTTTGCTTGTCTGCTTTACAGAATGAAGCTTCAAAGGGGCCAGCCTTTACCCTACCTGGCTCAGAGAGAAGCAGTGTGTAGATCAGTGACAAGGAACTGCAAAGTGAACTTGGGAGCTGGCATGGGAGCTGACTTCCTTCCAACAAGCCTAAAACATCTTTGCACAATCCCACATAGCCAAGCTCCTTGCCACCAGCTCCTAGGTCAGTCCTTTGACACACTGTCCTTAGAGCAGGCCTCCACATGGTATGCATTTACACTAGTGAAAACCACACACACACACACACACACACACACACACACACACACGCACACACGCACACACACGACCTCTGTCTGGTGACAGATTGGAGTCTGAAAGCTCTGGCAGCCTGCGTGGCTGATGGCAGAGTGTTGAGTCTGTTCTGTCTCCCTGGAGTCCCTCTGCACACGCAGGTGCACGTCAGCGCCTGCTCTAATTTTATCCCTGGCTGATGGAGGAGACTAACTGAGCAGCAGGAAAGAGGCTATTTTGGGTCTCTCTGCTGCTCTGGGTTATATAAAGCCTATCGCCGTGACCTGCATTGCTTTGAGGCTGAGCCTCACTCTCTTGCGCATTCTGTCACAATATGTCATCAGTTCACACACACACACACATGCAGTACTCTTGGGGAATGAGAAGAGAGGTGTGTGCTGAGGAGTGTGTACGTGTGTATGTTCCTGCCAGCTTGCATATACCTCAGGTGAAGGCATTGTAAGTGAAGGAAACTCATTCTGGAAGGAAATGGAAAGATCTTTCTGATGGAGAAACGTGAGGGTCCGTGCTTTGAGCTTTAGGACAGTGTTTGTGAGCCGATGTTGAGGAACTGCTGTTGGCATGGTGATAAGAATAATTTCTATTTTGGTAACTCTTTTCATTTTAAAAGGAACCTAAGGGGCTCGTGAATTATACACAAATGGTTCTGCGTTGGAATGGCAGGAGTTTTTATATGACATTAGCAGCAGCTGCTACGAGAGCAAACGTGATCATCCTGTTTAGAGATGGGCCGTGACAGAAGACGGCACAGCCCACACTCATGGGGATAATCTCACCTGGAAAGTATTTCCTTACAGGTAAAAACACCCCTTACTCTGCAAGGACTGTGATTGTTTTGCTAAAGAGCCCCACTGGCTTGATTTACCATATTCCATATATGATTTGTCTTCAGACTTTCTCTAAGGTTGGATCTTTTATTTTTAGACATATATACATTTTGATAGATGAACATATCACGGACTCTTATGAGAACACCCTTGAAAGTGCTAGGTTTCTCCACATGTGTGTCATTCACACAGAATAGGAGTGACAGGGCTCAAGGAGTTTCTGCCCCGGGCATCTGCCCTGCTTCTCATTTCTAGCAGGGTGAGGAGACATCCCGTTCTCAGTGAGCCACATGCTTCCCGTATATAATCCCCATGGGTACGTTCTGGGTGACATGATGGAACCCACAAGGTATTGCCCGGGGGAATGCAGACTTGGCAGGTCTGAACCTTGGCTGTGGGAACTGCCAGAATGGGAGGCCCAGGGCCAAGGCTCCCACAGTTGATTTGGTTCCCGGCACTTGCAGCAGCTGTGGCCATGGAGTTCCCATAACTCGTTACTTGATGGCTGCACTGTTTCTCAGCTGCCCTTTGAAAGGAGTTGATCCTGCTCCCACTGGCCAAAGTGCTTCTGAGGGATTTTGGAAAGAGAAGCCTGAAGCTTTCCATGAAGAAAGCCAGGGGAATCTGGCAATTAACTACAGAGGGCCGAAAGGGGTGGGCCTCCTCAGAGAATTCTAGTGAAGGGAGCCACTAAGAGAAGAAGGAAAGGGAAATGAACCAAAATCAAAGACAAAGTTTGCAGGGGCCGGATGGGGAAATGAAGCCAGGAATGGGGAAGGTACAGATGAATCACTGTGTGGCTTATTAATAATGGAATTGGATGGAATTTTGACATTTGTGCCCTCCTTTCCCCCTTCTTCCAGGCTGGGAGGTAGCAGCTCACCTTCCTGCCTCCTTGGTAGTCTACTTGATGCCTTTGGGTCTACCCCGCCCATTTGTCCGCCTCAGTCTCTCTGTTTCTGTCTCTGTGTGTGTGTCTCTGTTCTCTCTCCCCCTCCCTCCCTCCCTCCTGCCAGCCGGCCTGCCCGCCCGCCCTGCCTCCCTCTCTCCCTCCCTCCCTCCCTCCCTCCCTCCCTCCCTCCCTCCCTCCCTCCCTTCCTCCCTCCTTCTCTCCTTCCTGCCCGCCCACCCTCTTGGTGTCTCTCTCTCTCACTATATAGCCCAGACTGGCCTCAAACTTATTATCCTCCTGCCTCATCTTCTTTATTTTTATTTTTATTTTTTGGTTTTTCGAGACAGGGTTTCTCTGTATTGTTTTGGAGCGTGTCCTGGAACTCGCTTGGTAGGCCAGGATGGCCTCGAACTCACAGAGATGCACCCGCCCTACCTCCTGAGTGCTAGGATTAACCCTTGCACGCATCATGCCTGGCTGTGACTTCATTTGCATAACCACCTTCCCAGCTCTTCCGGGTGGACCTACCCCTTTCTCTCGTGACATCTACAGCCCAACAGCCGAGTGCTGCCAGACTCTTGTCTTCTATGTGTTTTTATGTGCTGTCCCATCTCCCCAGACTGTCCTTCCTGTTGCTGTTGCTATTGGTGCTAGTTGTGTTTGTGCAGTATGTAGCCCAGGCTGGCCTCAAGCTTGTCATTCTCTGACTCAGTCTCCCACATTAGCACTAAGGTGTGAGTTATCATTTCCCCCCCTGGAAAAATTCCTCATTTTTTTCCCTCCAGATATTGACCCAAACAAGTTGTTTTGACTCCTCCTGCAGGAGAGGAGGTGTCTCCCCTGGCATATTTGCCTACCTTTGCCTGAGCTGCTTAACTGCCCTGGAGTCCACCTAGACCATGGGCGTCTAGAAGACAAGGACCATGTCCAGTGGCCCAGCGCTCAGGCTGCCCTGCAAGTATCTGCTGAATGAATGACTGCATTGGGGCAAAGCCACCTTTCAGCACTAAAACTTCCTCCATGCCACAGGGTTAGAGGGGGAGATTGTGTGCAATGTCAGTATGGTGGGAGAGGGAAGGCCAAGTCCTGGGGAGTCTAAGAATACACGAAGTGATCCTGAGTTATCTGCCTCCAAAACCTAAACAGAGGGACAAAACTGTTGCGGTCCATTGCTGCACCACACGGGTGAGATGCTGAGTAAGATGTCACTAGTCAGTATCTGCCTTCTGTACCCCATTCCAACCCATTTATGGAAGTAGAGCACATAAGTTGCACATGGACCTCAGTGTCCTCTCCAGAGAATGCCAGGCCCCCCACCATGCCATAGTCCAGTCCCACCAAGAATCCGCCAAACTAGCTGTGACTCCATCACGACCATCATAACTTACAGCCAGTGGATCTGTGATCTTAGGGATCCGGGGAGCTGAAGCAGGAGGATTGCAAACTTAAGGCCTACCTGAGTGACTTAGCAAGACTGTCTCAAAATAAAAAGTAAAGGTGTGGGGGGGTGGCAGGGTGTAGGGATGAAACTCAGTGGCAGAACCTGCCTAGCATGAGTGAGGTTCTGGGTTTAAGCCCCATTACGTGGTGGGGTGTGTGTGTGAGAACGTCATCTCTCCACTCACTGACTGCCGTCTCTGCCCAGGTCACACCTTAGTGAGGCTGACCTTGGGCACTGAGCACAGGAGAAAGTGTGGAGCATCCAATGTTTGACTCAGTTGCACCAAACCAGGGATCAGGGAGCTGACATGTACTTCTGAAAAAACCTGAGATGAGACCGGAGGGAGCCCCAGCTACAAATCAGGTTAAGTGGTCTACTTAATTTAGGCCGATTAATTTAACCTCTGATACAGTCCTGGCATTACTTTTGTGATGGCATATTATCAATGTGTGTGTGTGTGTGTGTGTGTGTGTGTGTGTATGCACATAAATATTACCCTAAGTCCTTTGCTCTTGCACTCTGAGGGACTCCTCGATAATAGAATCATCGCCACAGCAACCCAGGAGTAAACTGACCGTGAGAAGGGTGGGCATATAATTGGCATTTGGGGGAAATTTTTAAAAATTTAAACAGTTCCTTTTTAGGCTTATGAATCTTGACAGTCATCTTGCTTTGACAGAGAAGGAAAGAGAACAGCCTGTGTGATGGAGAACCTTCAGGAGAGAAGACGGAAGAGGGCTTATCCTAGTCAGTGACGATGCTACAACAGCTGCTTGGCTGGGATAGCTCTGTTTGAACGACACGATGCAGGCCACTTAGGGAAAAGAGAGAGGATGCCGCAGGCAGATGACGAGGACCACAAGGCAGAGAGAGGACTTGGGACACACAGCAGGAGGGGATTAAAGGATTATGTGTATTGGGCCCTGTTACCAGCATCCAGAAAGGCATGCACTTTAACTGCCAAGAAACTAATAATGAATTGGAACACCATCCAGGGGTGAGAGCAAGTTAATTTTTAAAATTTTATTTATTTATTTATTTTTGGTTTTTTGGGACAGGGTTTCTCTGTGGCTTTGGAGGGAGAGCAAGTTAAAACAATAAATCCTGTGGTAAACCTCTATGCTATTTCTTTTGTTGTTGTTGTTATTTTGAGACAGGGTTTCTCTGTATTGTTTTGGAGCCTATCCTGGAACTCGCTCTGTAGACCAGGCTGGCCTCAAGCTTACAGAGATCCGCCTGCCTCTGCCTCCTGAGTGCTGGGATTAAAGGTGTGTGCCACCACCGCCTGGCTCCTCTATGCTATTTCAAAACCAGTGGTACGTTGGCTTTGTAGGACACAGTGGGTGAAAGCCAGTACAGAATCTTGTGTTATCATTTAATGGTTTCTTTAAACTAATTTATGTGCTAATTTTGGTTTGGGGTGGGGGACAGGATTTCAAATCGCTGGCTTTGAACTTGCTATGCATCCAACACTGTCTTCGAATTCCTATGGGTTCTGGAATTGAGGTATGTACCCCCACAATGGGCAATCTGATCTTTAATTTTTTTTTTAAAGACAGGGTCTTACTATGTAGGCTCAACTGGCCCAGAATTTTCTATGTAGACGAGGCTGGCTCAAACTCACAAAATCTGTTTGCCTCTTCTTCTAGAGTGTGTAAACTACCACACCTTGCTATCTGATCCTTTCCAGGACAGCCAAGGCTACACAGAGAGACCCTGTCCCAGAAGTGGGGCTGGGGATCAACTAACTTGGCTGTTACTGTAAGGATACTTGCTGACCTGCTGGCTATTCTTTTGAACGTTCTGCACCCACAGTTTCAGACAAACCTTACTTCTTTCCTACGTAACCCTTTGCTAGGTAAGTATACCCATTTCACTGGTGGGCAAATAAAGACACTGTGAGGTTAAATAACATGCCTAAGGCCACGGAGTTAGTGAATGGCAAAGCCAAGATTTGAAGGAAGGCAGTCTGGCTTCAGATCCCAAATTGGTAACCACCACGCTATACTGCCTTTGTAGTAGCCAATAAGTCTTGAAAAACAAAACCAGAAAACTAGCTGTTGGCATGCAAGGGGTGGGTTCTCCCCCAGTGTGGCAGAATGAGAGCAGCTGTGTGGAAATCCTGTATGGACGTCACCGACAGCCGACATCACCGAGAATGAACGCCTATGAATCCAGGTCAGTTGTGTCATAGCCGAGACTTCACAGCATCTCCACACAGCACTCAGGGTGAGTCTCACTTCTAGAGGTCACACCCTGAAGCATTCAACAAGCACTCCCTCGATGCGCTCGCTCAGCCAATGTTCCTTGAGCACTTCGTCTGAGCCAGGCAAGCCACCCTAGGCTCTGGAAATAAAAATTGGCCTGATGCATAGTTCCTCCCCTATGTACCAGGAGAGATGACAGACAGACAGACACCCTCAACCAATGACCAATGGACTTAAGGCTCAGCAGTCCCCTAAGGCTGATGTCACCCTTTGTCTATGTATCCTTTGAGGATTACTTTCACTTTCTGGAAGTCTTGGGGTGGCTTGGTCACCAGATGAATGGACTGTCATCCCTTCAAGTCACCTGTGTCCTCAAATGTTTTTCAGACAAGAGCTTCATGTTTGTTTGCTTTTTCTCCCAGTTGGTGGGGTGGAGGTACTGAGACCAGATTGGTAACCCAGACCAACCTCGGACTTGCTACATAGCTAAGGTTAGCCTGGAACGTCTGGTCTTGCCACTTCCGCCTTATGCGTATCCAACTACAGGCATGTACCACTTCACCCAGCAAGAGCTTGACTGTCTTATCTAGATAGTGGTATGGAGTGATATCAAAGATGATGGTCAGATGAGAGATAACTGTGAAGAGAATGTGTGACATCAGTCCACAGCAGCTCAGTTAAATATATATAAACATGCATTTACGGCTAGACATCTAACCGTTCGCTGTAACTCAGTGACTCGGAACCTGGGCTCTGAAGTCAGGCTATTCTAATTCTATTAGCATTGTAACTTGACTCTTGCTATGTCATGCATTCTTTCTGTGTAGATCGCAAATACTCAGTGCAGGCCATAGCAAAGCCTAAGTGAGAATAATACAGGCAGGCGCTCAGGATGGCATCGGAACACGACAAACCCTCTGCAAATGTAAACGGTAAGTTTTTATTTTTGTAGAAGTGGTAAGTTTTATAACAATATTATTTGTAGCCATAGTTACTTTATTACCTTTAGAGAGTGGCTTGAAGGGGACAGATGGGGAGACTTTACCTTATTTGTATGATTTGATTTTTTATTATTGCAATTAAAACAGGAATGAATTTTATAATTAGAAAAGGAAGAAAAAAAACAAACACGTCTTTGTGCTCTTCGGAGGCCTTGGTTGAAATTAAATAGGTCATCTGGGAGGCACATAAGTGTATCCTGTCCATCTGTTTCCACCTAGGATTGTTTCACGGGGTGACTTCAGGTAGGAGACCTGAGGGGGGTCAGCCTAGTTTCTCTAAGAAGGACCTCATGGAATTGTACAGTCCAGGGTGGACTGAATCGCACAAGGCTGCATCAAGGGGATCTAGGGATTCACGTTGACTGATGCAGAGACTAAGGGGGAGAATGGGTGATTCCCTGGAGGAGAATGGGAGTCTAGTCACAGATGAAGCATGAATGTGTTGGGTGGCAAAACAAAGGGTCCAATACAGCCAGACATAATGGCAAATACCCTTAATCCTGGCAACCAGGGGGATGGAGAGTTCAAGGCCAGCCTGGGCTACATAAGAAGACTTCTATCAACATAATCAAGTAAATCTCTGGAGAGATGGCTCAGTGGTTACGAGCACTTGTTCTTACAGAGGAGCAGGGTTCAACCTCAACACCTACACACGGAGGCTCACAGTGATCTGTAACTCTACTTCCAGGGGGTTCAAAGCCCTCTTCTGACATCTGTGGACACCAAGCACACATGTGGTGTGTATTCATATGTGTGTGTATATGCACATAGGTTAAACACTCATACACATAAACTAAAATAAAAGAATCTAAAAGAAATAAATAACCAAACAAGGGCCAGCAATTTGGCTTAGCAAGTAAAGATGCCTATCTGAATTTAATCCCCAAGACCCACGTGGTAGAAAGAGAGTACCAACCACACACACACACACACACACACACACACACACACACACACTGAATAAATACATATAATTTGAAGCAACAACCAAGGAAATGACACGGTTTTCCTTATGCTCAGGCTGGGAAGACATGCACACAGATGTCTTTAGGGTATCAGAAAGTAACCAAGGAAAGGCTAAGTCAAAGTGAAGGATGGAGTATACAGACTCGGGGTGTCAAGGGCCTCTACCTATGTTCTGTGGGAGCAGCAGCTTTGGGTCTGCCTTCCACTTACACAAGATAAAAGCCATAAATCTCAAACACCCATGAGTTCAGGCAGATAACACAAAGGAATACAGTAGATTCCTGCACCGGCCCGTATTGCATGACCAATAGGCAGCTGTTTTTACCTTACAATGTCATTGAATCCAGACTCCAAGTGTTTGCATGCATGTGCATGCAATCTCTCTGTTTTTAAACGCCAAATGGTTTTAAAACACACTACATGAGCCAAAGCAAGCACACATATCAATGGGTCAGGATCGGCTGTGTATCCTCTTCCCTCCAGTAGGTGACATCTGAAAGAATTGTATTGACACAGAGCAAGTGAAAAGCCCTTCTCCTTTTATAGAGCGCTAAGTCTGTGCTCAGTCAACAATTGCCCAGTGATAGCCCTCCTGCCCAAAGTTCAATCCTTTCATCTCCACTATCTAATTCAAATCTGAAAAACACTGAGTGGGCCATGAAAGGCAAGGAACATTACGGTGAGAACTGTACTTTCATTTCCTGGCGGGGGTGCGGTTAAATTCACAACTTCGGTGTGACTCTAACCGTTGGAGGGTTTTACATTCAATTTCCTGTTTCCTTTTCTTAATAAAGAAAGGAAAAGCAGGCCCCCGCAGCAACTGTACTTAGAGTTCCATAGGAAGACACCACGGGGGTTCCGAGTTGGCCACAAGCAAATACAAAACAAAACCTGAAACCCAGCAAATAGCAATCCATGGAAGACCCAGGGGCCCCAGGGTTGCCCGTCACTGCTTTCATCAGCCCAGGCAGCAATTTTCCACCCTACCCCCATTAGACTTGTGGCCGTCTCTCTGTTTCTGAGTTGCTGGACACATTTGCCACAAAGGTTTAGAATGTACCAATGGGGACAACAATAGTTGCAGTATCTGCCCTGTTTCAGGGACTGTCTACCATTCTAGCACAACTCCTCCAAACTGCACTTCTGCTTTTATACATGAGAGAACAAGAGGCATGCAGATACTTTGATAATTTGTCCAACCGTCCCAGGTAGCTTTCCTCGTCAGTTTGACACAGTTTACAGTCATCTGACTAGAGAGCAATTGTCTAGATAAGATTGGCTTGTTGGGGGAATTATCGTGACTGTTAATTGATGCAAGAGGGTCAGTGTGAGCAACACCATTCTCCTGTTTGTGCTCCTGGGCTTTGTAACGAAGTTGAGTATGGTTCAACCAGTAAGCAACATTTTCTTTGGCTCTTGTCCTCCAGGTTCCTGCCCTGAGTCCCTCAGTGATGGACTGGAAGTGTGAGATGAATCAGCCTGTTCTTAGACAAGCTGCTTTTTGTCAGGGTTTGATCATAGCAACAGAGAGGAATTGGAGCACAGACACTCTCAAACAACGGAGGTGGTATTTCACTGTTTTCTTTCACCAGGGAATTTGTGTTGGTGGTCATCTATTTGTTGGGGAGGCATTTCAAAAAGAAGGTCGTTAAGAGTCTGGATAGTGCAGGAGAGACGGCTCAGCATCCTTGCTGCAGTAGCCAGGGCTACTCAGAGAATTCTTGTCTCAGAAAAAAAGAATTTTTTTAAAAAGTATGAGAGAGAGAGAGCATGCGCGCATGCATGCGTGCTGCGAGAGAGAGAGAGAGAGAGAGAGAGAGAGAGAGAGAAAGAGAGAGAGAGAGAAAGAGAGAGAGAGAGAGCGAGAGAGAGAGAGATCACAGAGATGGCTTATCGGTTAAGAGCACTGGCTGTTCTTCCAGAGGACCGGGGTTCATTTCCCAGCGCCGACATGGCAGTTTATAACTGCCTGTAACTCCACCTCCAGGACATCCGACACCCTCATACAGACATACATTCAGGCAAAACACCAACGCACATAAGATTTTTTTAAAAAGACAAAAAAATGAGATTTTAGCCTGATGGTGGTGGTACCCACCTTTAATCCCAGTACTCAGGAGGCAGAGGCAGGAGAATCTCTGAGCTCAAGGTCAGCCTGGTCTACATAGATCCAGGACAGCCAGGACAACAAAGAGAAACACTGTCTTGAAAAACAAAACAAAACAAAAGTTACAAGTGAGAACCCTGTGCTCAGAATGAATCCCACTTGCTGAAAAGAAACGGTATAGAGTCCATGTGTGGCACATTTGTCTGGAGTTTCCCTTCAGCTATCCAGGTTCTTCTTAAACATTTATTTGCTTTATATGCACGTGTGTGCCCCTGAGTATTCACAGGTACACTGCATTCATGCAGTGCTCTCGGAGACCAAAAGAGGGGATCTGCTCCCCTGGAGCTGGTTGTGAGCTGCTCTGTATGAGTTCTGAGAACACAAGTGCAGCAAGGATGCTGAGCCACCTCTCCTGTCCTATCCAGACTCTTAACGAACAACTACTGTGTACATAATTCTAGGGGGGACACAGAGAGGGATAAGCAGCTGCTGTTGACTCCTAGAGCTTGTTGTTTAGTTGGGAAGGCAGTCTATGCACTAAAGCATTTGAACGCAGTACAAGATGATGCCTAAGGACCAAGGTCAGTGGGCCAGACAAAATTCAGAGTGGGTTTTAGCAGGTGTGGTGGCATGTGACTGTAGTCCAGCACTTTGGAGGTGGTGGAAGCAAGAGGATCAGAAATTCAAGGCCATCCTTAGCTGCACTGTAAATTTGAGGTCAGCCTGGGGGCACTTGAGACCTTGTCTCAAAAAATCTTTTGGCTGATGGTGGTATCACATGCCTTTAATCCTAGCGCTTGGGAGGCAGAAGCAGGCAGATCTCTGTGAGTTCGGGGCCAGCCTGGTCTACAGAGCTAGTTCCAGGACAGCCAGGGCTACACAAAGAAATCCTGTCTTGAAAAATTAAAATTAAAATAAAAAAACACAATTTTTTTTCAGAGGGATGATAGACTGTCTATTCTAGGCTGCAATGGTTGGAGCAGCAAAACACTGAGATTTTGTGTGTGTGTGTGTGTGTGTGTGTGTGTGCATGTGTGTGTGCACATGTGTGTGTGTGTAAGGGATGGTCAGGGTACAGATCATATCTGAGGGAGGCATCCAGCAGAAAGGGTACAAATCACAGCACAAAGAGAATGTAAAATGAAGAAAGTATATGCAGTACAGCATAATTTGGCAAAGAAGCCCTCTGTTGCAGCAGCCACGTGAGAAGCCAGGCTCTGCATCTTCCTACCTATGTGACCCTAGGTCACTTATTTCACTTGTACTAAGCCTTGGTTTCCCAACCTGTGAAGTGGGCAGAATCAACAAATGATATAAGGCGGTGTGTCTCCTCCTTGGTAGCTACTGTTATTATTATGGTCTGTTTACGGGGGTATCCCTTCTGCTAGCTGTTCCACCAGAACAGTGGAGAGATGTATGTGACCACAGTGAAACCATAACGTAAGAGCCCAGAGGACTGGAAACTACAGCCGTGAACTAAAAGCAACATGTGTCGGTCCCAGAATTGGATAACACAAGCAAACCACAAATATGCTTAGGTCTTTGAAGCTCTCTGACAGGGCGGGGCCCACTGTGAATTACTTCATGCGATGGAGTCAAACCACATTTTTTTTCTTTTTCTCATCAGACTTCACAGGAAATCTATTCCTCTGTTCAGATTTGAGATAAATCAGCCTTTCACCTTGACTCTCCTTTGTGGCAGGAACTCATCCATGAAGCTGATCGCTTTTCTATCCTAGGCTGGGTCATCATCAACTCATATTTAGCAGGCGTGTGCATCTGAACTCCCCTCATGTTACAAGCAATGGAGGTTAAATCTATGAAGATGTGCTCAGCCATCCGACTGAGAGAACAATCTAAGAAAAGGAGGTGAGGATGGCTAGGGTGAAGCCAGCCAAGGCGTGTGGAGTTTCTGAAGGTTGTTTATTTTGTGCCTGTAATCCCCTACCATGCTGTTGCCCAATAATTATTTTAGGTTTCGTGACTTTCAACCTAACCTCTGTGCCCAACAGAGAGAATCTATCCCAAGGTGTTGACATGATTTCTCAGTAGCTGTTACAAAAGCACCTTTGACTGCTTCTCCACATTGACATGTTCAAATTATCAAGAGAACTGGCCTTGAGGAATTCCCAAGACCCCACCACCACCACACACACAAACACCTAATGGAATGAGTCCACTGTCCAACTCTAAGGACTAACTCAAGAGATGAAGGCTGGACGTGGAATAGTGGCTATAAACACTAGCCCAGTAGGCAAAAACTCATCTTAGCATAATCTAGAAAGAACTAAAGATGGTACAACCCACCACCATGTACTGATGCCTGACCTCTGTGGAGTGCTTGGTTCCCCACCTCACTATACACCTATCAACCCTAAAAAGACGGTATTATAGTGCAATGGTGAGTGTTATCAACATCACAGAATCTAGAATCACACTGAAGCAGGAAGCTGTGGAAGATTATAGATTATATTGATTGTGGTAATTAATATAGGAAGACTCATTATAATTGTGGATGAGCCCAATCCCTGGGGTCCTTTTTGTTCTGTTGGGTCAGCCAAGCTGCAGTTCATTCTGAGACTTGTAGCAGATGGAGCCATCTCTCTAACCCAGGAACTTCTAGAGAGGCCATTGGGAGTTTGAGTTCTTATCAGATGACATTCTTGAGGCATGGGTCCCAAGGCTCCCCAGGCAACTGGACTTTGAAGCCTTGACCCTAACAAAATCCTGAACAAAAGAGGGAAAGCCAATTGAATACGCGAATTCATTGCCCTCTGCTTCTTGATTGCAACTGAGATGCAATCAGCCACCACCTTAAGTTCCTGAAGCTGAGTCAGGAGAGTCAGACCCATCATAAAGGACTCCAACCTTGAGCCATAAGCCAAAATAAACCATTCCTTCCTTAAGTTACTTTTGTGAGATTTATTTTGTCATAGTAACATGAAAGAGATTAGGATTTACAGATCTTCTAATTTTATAAAAGAGGCAACTAGGCATATAGAGATGAAAATTTGGAAAATCATTGAAAAAAATGTAAATCTGGCTTAGGGCTAGTGGCAAATAGGACAAAGGTATATATGTTCTATCGCAAGGAACAGATGGAGAGGAAGGTTCTATGGTCAGAGATAGACAGGAGGCAGAGGCAGGAGAATCTCTGTGAGTTCAAAGCTAGTCTGGTCCACATATCAAGTTCTAGCCCAGACAGAGATATATGGTATGACTTGATCATGATGGGGGGTGGAGTGAGAGGAAGGAGTGGGAGATAAAGAAGAAAGATGTCTCCAAGCCATTGGCTTTAGTCTTGAAAGGGACTGTCCAAGTCGTAGAATAGAATCCAAGCCCACATGGGCGAGGGCATGTGCAGACAAATGCCTAGAGATAAGACAGTCAGCTTATACCAGCTCTCTGCCCCCATGCTTTTTCCTTCTGTTGGGTCAGTCAAAATGCAGTCCATTCTGAGATTTGTGGTGGACAGTGGAATTACCAGAGCTTTCTCTCTAACCCAGGAACTTTTAGAGGGGCCATTGGGAGTTTGAGTGCCTATCAGATGACATTCTGGAGGCACGGGTCCCAAGACTCCCCAGGCAACTGAACCTTAAGGCCTTGAATCCATAAGTCAGTATGGAAATGTTGGCAGGTTCTCCCCTGGTCCCACTTTGTCTTCCCTGACTCTGAAGGAAGTTGAGCACATTCCAGGAAGCCAGAGTGAGTTTGGACCTCAGCCTTGCTTGTGTTGACTTTGAAGGTTACATTCTGTCTCCATTTCTTCATCAGCAAAAGGGATTATAATCAAACGTACCTCATAGATTATTTAAGAATTAAGTTGAATTAGTTATTAAGAATCTACATCAGCCACCTTAAGGACTCCAAGGGCTCAATTAACACAGGTGACATAATTACCTACCTCTTGTCTCTGAGGAGATTCTAACTGTCTCAAGCCCACAACACATATTATCATATCCGGGTAGGGAGTGGCCTCGGGAACAAAGCCTGTAGCCCTGCCAGACCGCTCCTGGAAAGGAAATGGTTTCATCACCTAGCTGTCTAAGTCAGGGACACTTTCTTCAGGGAAGGGCCTTCTGCAATCTGGCCAACTCAACATGCTGGGTTACACCAGGCACCACTGACCTGACTCTGCCAGTCTCTAGCGTGTCAAGGAGTCCCTGAGAGTTACACACACACCTGTTGGGCAGAATGCTCATCCATGACAGGCCTGGGTGTCATGGTGTTGGCTTTGTTCCTGTCTGACACAGGTCTGGAGCTCGTGTAATCTGGGGCCCTTCTGAAGGTCCTTTCGTCCTATCTGGTGACCATGGCTGTCATCTTCAGCTGGGAAATCCTTGAACCCCAGAAAGGCTACTCCAGAGCTCACAACAAGAAGGTTATTTCTACAATTGACCAAGGAGCTTGAGAAATGAATTATGGGTATGGCAGAGTGGGGGAAATAATGTCTGTGTCTGTGTAGCTATCCTAGCAGACATGGCCCGGCAAGGACACCAACAGTTAAAAGCCTTTTGTCCAAGGCTCTGTGGTCCCATTGAGACTGTGTAAGGTCTGGCAATTTCCTTGACTTCTCTGTCTCCATTCCTTGTCTGTACAAGGTGACAATGACAACAGTATTCAAATACCTCTTTAGGTTGTTTTGGGATGTCAATTAATTTTTATAAAAATGTTAGACTCCTGCCTAGTTAGTTGGATATAGTGGTGTATATCTGGAAGATGCACTTGGGAAACAGACGTACAAAGGATCAAGACTTCAGTGTCTTTGGCTACACAGTGAGTTTGAGGCCAAGAACACTGGCTGCTCTTCCAGAGGACCCAGGTTCAATTCCCAACACCCACATGACAGCTCACAACTGTCTGTAACTCCAGTTCTAGGGAATCTGACACCTTCACTCAGACATATACACAGGTAAAACACCAGTGTACATAAAAGAAAAATAAATTACTTTTTAGGGGCTGGAGAGATGGCTCAGTGGTTAAGTGAGTTTGAGGCCACCTGGGCTAGAAACCTTGTCTCTAAAATCCAAAGTACATACACAAACAGATAGCAACAGTAACAAACAGAAGAACAGTGCCTGGAATATGATAGTATAAGTATGGGCTGATGTTTCCCCATAAGCCAGAGATTTCTATTCTGGACAGAGCCTCCAATAAATAAGTCTGATTGACCTTGAAGGTTGCTCTCTTTGAATGTGATTACATTGTCTGAAAAGAATATATGCTGGAGCTGGAGAGCTGGCTCAGCAGTTAAGAGCACTGACTGCTCTTCCAGAGGACCTGAGTTCAATTCCCAGCTCCCACATGGAAGTTTACAACTGTCTATAACTCTGTTCCAGGGGATCTGACACCCTCACACAAACATACATAAAGGCAAAAAATGCTAATGCCCATAAAACTTTAAAAAAATCTTAAAAAGACTATATGCTAAGCCCACATTTCACTCTCGGAGAAAACAGTCTCCCAAAATAGAGCAAATTTGTCTGATGTTAGATTTTTTGTTTTATTTCTATTTTGGTTTTTGTGACAGTGTCTTAGGTAGCCCAGCCCTGAACTTGTGGTGATCCTCCTGTATCAGTCTCTTTCCCATTGCTATGATTACAAGCATGTCACTTTGTAGACTTTTTGTTATTATTTTAGAAGTGAGAGCTAAGATTCTGCTAGGTAATAATATAGGACAATAAATTGGCCACCCATTCCCTGATCCCGGATCTCAGAGCGTCATGAATCTAGTAGGCTTGCCCTTTGACCTGAATCTGGGTGATGTTAGTAATACAGGAATAGGTGAAATGCCAGCCACGCCTAGCTAGCCTAGAAAAAGGAAATACTTCCCACACCTTGCTTTGCACAGGAGGGCCCCCAGGAAAGGCATCCCCAGCACTAGGGCCTGGACCTGCTTCAATGCCTGGGTGTGGTTGCAGAAACCACCCAATACAAACTGCAGTGAACCTGCTGCCCTCTCCCTCCCCCCACCGCTGCCAAGTCAAACAGAACACTGGGAACACAAATAGAATCATCACAAAAAACCGGCTGTTGGAGCCAGACACCGGACAACCCACTCCCTGGCATTGCCACCCCCATCGCAGGTCCAGACGTGAGAAGAGCTCTGGGGGTTGAGGAAGGTGTGGCCCTTGGGCATTCCTGCCCAGCAAGAAACCCTGCAGCTTGTCTGTACTTATTGCTACCTACATGCCTTACTCAAGGAGCTGCTTGCCAAGGCAGGGAGGGAGAAGGGTCTCCCATCCCTCCAAGCCCTGGCCGGACAGCTAGGAAATGCCCTTCCCATCAGACCCACTTGACAAATGCATCCTGTCAGAAGGGAACTCTTCAAATGCTTTTAAATCCTAAAGGCATCTGAGGGGTGGGAAAGCTTTCGTGATGGACGTGCTTCTCTGCAGGGTCGGGCGTGGGGAGGAGAGGGAGGGGCCAGTTCTAAATGACAGCTTCAGATAAATGAGAGTGGAGTGCTCCAGGTAGCCCTGAACTCAGGTAGTGCCCTCCCTAGCCCAAAGCAGGTCAGACTCCTCAAACCGCCCAAACCTTCCTGCTGTGTGCTCTGGGGCATGTCTCCCTTTGCCTTCTCGGATCCTGAGCCAAGGAGGAAATGTAGGTTAGTCGCTAAGAGGCAAAGATGGCTCTTCCTGCTCACTTCCCGATGTCAGCACGTTTTCCAGATAGTCTAGCAAATCTCACAAATGATCTTCAACACCCCAACCTTCCCAAACCATCCCACCCATCCCCCACCCCCTAGCCTACCCCCCCACCCCCAGGCACTCACAGCCATTTCAGTTTAGTTAGTTTGGGGAAGTGATTAGAGCTTCCTCGTGGAAAGGCACTCACACAGAATGATCCAGGAGGAAGTTCTCAAGGCCTTCCACTGCATGGTGCGAATGGAGGGCGGGCAAAGAGTCTGAAAAGGAACATCTGGCTGGGGAGCCCAGTTCATTGTAGACAATGCACCCTTGACATGTTGTCAATGTGAACAAAGGGTCTAGTTCTCAGGGATGTCAGACGGATAAAATGAGACAGTAGGAGAGTATACTGTCCCATCTCATGAAAAATGCTAGGTATATTATCCTTCCTTTGTCCTCCCTCACTTTCTGTCAGTGATTTTCTAGGTCCTTGATTGGCATGAAGAACTGAGAGAAGTTCTTCAGCAAAAGGTCTCATTCTAACTTGGGTTGACAATAGGGATTGCCTCTCCATTTCTTCATAAGTGGTAAGATGGGCTACTCCGTTGCCTGCAGGAGAATCTCAGCAGCCTCTCCCACATGAGACAAAAACACAAACACTCCATTTCCAGGCCCAGAATCGATTCACTCTAATCCACCTACAAGGCAGGCCTTTCCACAGACCTCTGCGTTTCTGTCTTGCCTCTGCCTTATGTTCTAGGTGGGGCATTGGCAAGAAGGCGGCACATGATGTTCAAGGGGGTCTAGTCTGATCGCTGGCTGCCTGGAGAAAGTTCTGCATCTTGGCAGAACGGGCAGTTGCTGCCTTTCCTAGGGTCCTATAGTAAACAGTACGTGGCTGCGTCCTAACTATTATCTGAGGGTTTTAAGTGCAAAGATAGGTTTGCTCCACTCGCCATATTCCTTCTCTGTTTGGAACTGGGCAGGAGTCTATTAAAGCAGAGATTTTTTAAGTTGTTGGAGAAGGGTAGTTAGGACAGGGGTTCAGAGGGTGCTGATGATGAGTAGAGACCTGAAGAGTGGCCCTAAGAGTAGGAAGGGAACTGAGGGAGGGCTGTTTAGAGAAGGGAGCCAAGGAAGTGAGTAATAGGTGGGTCAGAGGATGGAGCAAGGGAGTGTTGTAAGGGAATGGATGCCCTTTGCAGACAGGTGGTAAAGTGTCTAATGGACACTCAATGGGGGTTATTGTGGAATAACTGG